TGTGCTTGTGGTTCACTCCAACAGTCTGACGAGCTTGCAGGTTGCAAAATGCCTCTGCACAGTTGCAGCTTGCATAGGTCTTGAGTCAGAGAAGCAGGTACTGATTACAGCTTGCTTTTATTAGGAAGCTTTTTATGTGCAGTGAGTCTCTGCCTGCACTACTTCATCTTCTATTACACTTTCATTATGCAGAAACATTAGCATGGAATACTAAATTCTGTAAATTCCGCTCTGTATAATGAAGATGGGGAGTGGGCACATGGGGGATTCTGAGATCACACGTCTCATATACTGGCCTAGTGTTGAGACTGCCAGAAGAATCTGAGCTGCTTCAGGTGTTGTAAGCTCCAAAAATAGTTAATCCTGTTTCCTGCATATAACCTATAAGCTTGTTACCAAATAAGGTGATGAAATATGAATGGTAATATWAGGGGTGTATCAAATGCATTTAGTCACAAAGCTCTTCTACTTCTCTCATATTCATATACATATATGTATGTAAATGCAATTTTTGGAAAGCCATGGGATACAGTGCTATAATAATTTAACACTGTATCACAGAAATAGAGGCTTGAATTAAAGGTCTGTACCATAGTGCAGCTTCAGAAGCAGCTTGGTCTTCATATTAGGATTGCATTATGTGGATTTGTAACAGTCACAGGTGACTGGAGTTTGAAAACCTGTTTGTGTTACTCAGSTCAACCTTKTGCAGTGAGTGCACAATACTCCTTYRTTGCAGTAATTCCATTATTATTTCRATGTGTTTTGGAACACCTCTAATGAAGCTGTCCCCATCAGTCACTAAAACAGTCTGTTCCATTCTCAATTGCATATTGGGTGCTGTGACTCAGGCTCCAGGTCCCATGTGTTTTACATGATGTGCCTGAACCAACCAGCACAGTYGCCTTAACTTAGATGGGGTTTATTTTATTTTAAATTCTTTATATACCATCCTGGATKGAAGTGACATTAAGAATACACATAATACTTAGCAGTAAAACTGGCTTACTGGAACAGGCAGTATTCTTACCATCTGAAATTCCRATACCTCTCCAGGAGACATTTACAAGTGCTTATTTTTTAATCACAAGAAGTGCAAACTGTTATTTGATCTCAAAGAGCAAAACTAAATAAAGAAGTACTGAATCAAGGCTGTGGGTTATTAACTAGATTTCTTATTTTCTCTAGTATTACCTTGCATTTAAGAAGTGGCTGTGTTTTGAATCTTTACAACCCTGCTTTGTTTATGCTTCGCTTCCRCTGGATTCTTGCAACTGGCAAACTGCTTAAATCCCATGGAAGCAATCTCTATGTACCTATCACAGACTTTCATGCTGGGTGATCAGGTTATGGGGGATAATAAAATGCTTGAGGGTCGCACCACTTGCCACAGCTCTTCTTGTGCTGCCACCACCTGTTCCTTGGTGTAGGTCTGGATGCGATGCTCTTGCCTGCACTTCTGTTTCATTTTGGTGCTCTTGTTGTCATGCTAGTTTCATATGAAGTTCACTTGGTAGCTTTTTAGGCCTTACTCATGGGTTTTTGGAAGTTCTCATGGGGTTCTTTCCTCCTCTTAGAGTCCTGATTCCTGGCTAGTAACTTACCCTGAGTTTGTTATCTTCAGAAGGAAACCATTTTTCCACTTCAGCTTGCCGATATATTTTTTTTAATTTTTTTTTTTGGTGACTTTTGTCTGGGCACAGAAGATGTCTCCAGATGGCTGAATGCCCAGCAGAGTTTGCTCCTTTGTTGAAGGGCCACTGGAATTGAGTTAAGTCAAAGCTGTGGCAGTGTTGCAGCATGTGTAGCTGGGTCTGAAGCTGTACCATAGAGAGCTTCAGTCCCTCCCAGTGCTCACACTTCCATTTCAAAGCTGCCTTTAAGGGGTAGCTCCTCAGGCTTTGTTCTAGTGGGAGTTCTCCGGCCTTTTCCAGTATGCTGGCACCACTGGGTAAGTTGTTTACACTGTTTCTACATGCAGATTAACATGGAAGAAAGCTTTATTTACCACAAATTCTTTTTTTCTTGAGAGACATTTTCCATTTGCTAATTTGTGTCCCTCCCCCCCAAAAAAGCCATTAACATGTTGAATTTTAAAAAAGGTTTGTTTTTTTTTTCTGGTCAATTCTGGGAGGTCATGACTGTTCTAATATCTGTTTAGGTGTGTTTGTTTTTTTATAACACGTGTGGACAGTTTAGCTTTAGAGACTGTTGCTTTTTCAATGTTAGGCTGCCTTGATGGCTGCTGAAGTGGTGTTAATCACTTAACACAGCTTAATTAAAGGGTACAAGCRCAGTGGTTTGTGCTCTCACCTGTTGTCAGTGGCTTTCTACAAAGCTGAGAATGTTTTCCCAATCATTTTGTTATTAAAAATAATAGGCACAGAGTTGCTAATTGGAATAAAAGGGTTTGTGAAGTTTAATTTTCCATGTGAAGAGCTGGGCCCTGACAGCTATTAAACTTTAGATCCAGTTCATTAGTTGTTTTTGATTGAAGATGACAAAATGAAGCAAAAGGATTAGAGGGCTAAGAAGACGTGGCCTACAAGGAAAGATGAATGGTATTGTTTAGAAAAACAAACCAGAGGAATTAGGGAACACTTGACAAATTTTAAAATAAATAAGGCTTATTTCAAGAATGGATTTTTGGTAGCATGAAATCTTTAATTACTTCAGGGTCTTTGAAAATTATGATTATGAACATACTGGTATTTCCCAAATTTCCTCCTTTCTGCGCTTCCCCACTCAGGGAAAGCAGAATTACAGATGCTCATGTTCAAATTTGCTCTTAATTTTTGTTGCAGGAGAAACAAAACAGAACAAAAATTAAATGTATAAATAAAATAAAAAATAYTCACAAAAACCCCGACAAAAATTTAGTAGTTCTCAGTTGTCCAACACTTGTTTTTTAAAATTTTTTTTGTTTAATTTTGCTTTTGAAACATGGAAAAAAATGAATCATTTCCACCTGTTTTTTGCTTGCATCCACTTCTCCATAGTTTTAAGGCTGCCTAGAAAAATAAAGGCAGGAATATACAGGAAAGGTGCACGTTGTAGATGTAATTCAGGTCTGCCTCATGCAGTATTTCAGAGGGTTGCCTGACCACTGGAGGTCTATGAAGTATTTTGGAACCCAGTTATCCATGGGTAAGAAATATGTATACAATGAAATGCTTTMTTTTGTTGTTGTTTTGGTTTGGTTTTTTGTCGTCATTGGTTGGGAGCTCCAAACGATCATAAATCCCAGTAGTCTTGGATTTCAGGGAGTTACCTGTGGACATCCTCAGTTCCTGGAAAATTCTTATATTCTCCTTTGCAGCATTTTGCAACGAGGTACGAAGATACGAAGGTTTGAGTGGTTAATTTTACTTAAATGTATGAAGTGACTGTTCCAAATTGCTCCCCTTCGAGTGTTTTGATAGTCTAGGAGCAAAAATCTTTGTTTAACTAAAAACAAGAAGTTCTGAAGTGGTGTGTTCTAAAGAAGTGAAATGTTCTTGATGGTGATTSTTTGAATTATATTTTTCTCCACAAAAATCAGAAAATAAATAGCYACTTGTTCTTAATTAWKMWTAATTAAGAATAATTATTAACTAATTATTAACTTAATTATTCTATTTGGCTGCAAATGAAAAATGTATCTTGTGTTTTTTCTGCACTTTTAAGAAATTTTCTCACTTACCTTTCAAGAAGGTGAGACAGTTCAATGATAATCTAAAGAGGGAAGCACTGATTTTAAATACCCCATTTTTCAAATTAGGTGGCAAATACATGTTGGCTCAAAGACAGTAGAGTTMCTGTAATTTGAGAATTAATTTTAGTGTCTCTAAGGGTTATGTGGGTTTCCTCATTAAAGTCAGGGATCAAAGCATTATTGGGGCATCTTTCATAATACTTAAAATGTAAATTGCTAGATTTTCTAATGCATAAATCCAGTTGTCTCCAGCTGAAGCTTTGTCTGCATACAAATGCCCTACGTATTTCAAAATTTGCCAGAAGTGCACACTTAAGGTATTAGTCGTGTTGTTGTCATGTGGTGTGAATTTGTGAATTGCAGTGTGTGGAATTGTGGAATAAAGGGTGGAAGACATACRATATTTGTATTTGAAACCAACACATTGCCTGAGAAGGAGCTTTAGTACCTCAGGGTTTGGTATTCATACTGAATATTACACGAGTTGAGTTTTATCCTTTTGCTTTTCTTTTTGCTTCTTCTATGTTCTCAGACTCCAAGTGACAGGAAATMAGTTGTTGCAAATGAGTTTGGTCTGTACGTGTTTGAGGTCCTTCTCTGCGTGATGGATTTTCCATCTGCATTCTCTCCACATTCCGTGCTGGGTTTCCTTTGCTTCCACTTGATGTGAAGGGTCAAGGGAAATGCAGTGCTACCAGGTCACTATGCTTAGTAAGGCCCTGGAGCATCAGAAGAAAATTCCCAGGCCATTGTGGGTAAAGCACAGGTTAATGCCACATTGACTCAAAATGTACAGTTTGTTTGATTCGATCAAACRTGATAAACTGCCTTGGTAAGTTCAGCTTACAATTGTGGGACTTCCTCAGCTGAAGAATAAGCTCAGTCTCCCGGTGGTTACGCCTCCATTCAGGCTGAAAGCAGATTCTGAAATAGTGGCAGTCTGTTCAGCAGCAGTTCAAGCTTTGAGCCAGGTTATTCATTCTGATTCTTTGGGTAGAATTGCTATTGAAATCACCAGCGAATTTTTACAACTGCTTCCTTAGCTCCCCTTTTAAAACTTCCTTCTTCTTTTGTAGTACTGTATAACCACCCACAGCTTATGTGCTCACTATGGGCATTTTTATAACTGTGATAAAAATTACCAGTGTATTCTCACTTATAAGTAATTGTGCTACTACTGTRACGCTTTTTATAAAATAAAGTTTTTGTCAATCTGAGGTGTTTTACTAAAAAGAAAAAAATTTTACATGTTCTGCCCTTTCATTGCTCGCTGAATCTTGGTTTTGGTTTTTCTTTTTTTAAATAGTGATTCCAGAGTTTATTAATCAAGTAAATATTGCGTTGGAGAGCATAAGCAAGAACACAGTGCATCTGTTTGATGACAACCAGTTTGTGGACATTTCCAAGAAGGTGTACGATACCATTCATAACATCAGGTGCTCAGTCATGATGATCCGGGTAAGTTTGGAATTTGTACTTTTCATACACATTTCTGAGATGGATCAGGACATCAGGGCACTTTCAGAGGCATTCAGAACTSTGTGTGTGATAAATGCCACCAGGCTCATATCCAGGTTGAACTGACTTGGGAAATTTGGAATACAGTGGAACATGTGTGATTATAACTCAAGAAGTATAGAATTGCGTTAAATACTACATCAGATTATGTAAAAGTGTCCTTAATTCTTTAAAGATGTGTAATTATGTTTGGTTGATTAAGGTTTTCATTTACTTCATTAATKAATGTCTTGCTAAAACCCAAATAATTTTGTAGTTCTTCAGCTTTACCTGCGGAATGTAGGAACTGAGGGTATTTTCTGGTGATTCGAGTCCTTTATTAATTTTTTTCAGCCTCATACCAGAAGACTTAACAACCTAATTTCTTTCAGTCTTACAGAATCACTGCACTTACCCTGATATTTTCCTGAAGTTCAGGGAACTAATTCACAGCATCTTATTTTTAAAATTCAAAACAGAATTTGATGTCATGCAGAGTTTCTCCCAAATATTTCCAGTTTGTAAATCCCGCTTCAAATGGTAAACCAACTGAGCTACACTATCTGTATGTTCATCAATTTTGTTTTAAAATAAAATTAAATGCTAATAAAAGTAGTTTTTTCAGAGGAAGTTTGTTCATTGCAGGGTGGTTGGACTGGGTGGTCTTTAAAGATCCCTTCCAACCCAAACCACTCTTACATGGACAATATTAGTCTTAACATACTGTGGCATGTAAGTTAAAGTAGGAATTGAGATGTGGAAAAAGATTTAAATGTCTCAACCTTATTGCAGTTGTCAATTAGGAAGTTGTATACTGAAGAGAGTTCCTCAAACATCCAAGATTTTGCCCATAGCAGTAAGAGTTTGTGAGCTGGGCTAGGTGGCAAAACAAACCRGATTGAGGGTGAACCTCTGTTGGGTCTGCTGATCAGTTCCTGTTTCAGTGAATGCAGGCTAGGAGTTTTGATTAGGACATGGTTTCTTTTTTTTCTATACAAGTTTCATTTAATTCCTGTGTTGCTCATCCCCCTTCCCTTAGTGACTCAGGAAGCCCTTGGTTTTTTTGACATWACAAAGTGCTGCTGTTTCTCAGTGACATCTGAGTCTTCTCTGCATCCAGTCTTCTTAGCCTTGAATTCCGTGATCATGACTGAGCATTCCTTTGTGGAGCTTTTAATTTTTGGAAAATTGGRTAATGCCCTGAGGAGTCTCAGTCATTTTCTCTGAAGAGCCAGACACAGCTCTGCAGGAGACTATATTCTTAGAGTCCTCTGTGGTGGGTGTATGTGGACAGTCGCTCAGAGAAGGGTGTTATGATCCTCTGTGCTTCCTTCTGAAGCAYGAGGGCAAAATCCTTAGATGTGAGGGACTTTAAATAGGTACAAGGCCCAGGAAGTGCCCAGTGTGCAGCACACGTGCTGTGTGAGTGCATCTGGAAAACTGTGAGCACAGCACCTCAGTGGACAGCAGCCATRGAATGGTTTCTGGCAGTGCCATCTTCCACTGCTGCTTTGCAAATCCTGACGGAAGCTTGGGAAATTTRACAAAAACCATTAGAAAGGACATGTTCAGCTTTCCACTTAATGAATACAACGATTCAAAGTCATGGGAGGGCTTTTTTTGAGATTTGGTGAAATATTAGTCAGCTCCTTCACCACCATCCCTTAGAGATACTGACTGCCAGCACAGAGCGCTGAGGAAATGCATTCATTTTCTGACTCAGGAGGTATTTGCATTCCTAGTTAGATACATTCCAGCCAATGGCAGTTTCCTGGAAGCAGCTTTAGTAAATCTGGTGGTTACTCAGATGTAYGCTGTTAGCACAGCAGCCGAGGTGAGGAAATGAAATGTTCTGTGGCCAGCGTGCTGATAGTGCCAGAGAACAGTGCCTTGCTGATTACAGGGGATTGATTGCAAGGCTGAGAAATGGTTGATCAAAAATAATTGAGAAATGTAAATGAACAACACYACTCATTCACAGGGGGCAGTTTTTCAACATGGCAGTAAAAGCAGAAATTCTTCAGATCGGTTTCTCAGGAAGCATTTCAARCATGTAATTACAGAGAGAGAAGGTTTTAAAAATAGGGCTCCTAACTGTTAGATGCTTCCCAGTACTATTGTTAATGCAAATTACCAGCTATGCATTTCAATGTCCAAGTGTTTCCAAAGATACATTGAACATTCCTGTCCTGCAGGTATCGTGTGAGTAACATTTGAGAGCAGCTCAGTAGTGGCAGCTGTGTTGTACTGCTGAGCTCTATAGAAAGCCTCTGGAACACCAGGATGCTCCACCCCTTTAGATGCTTTTCATTGTTTGCAAGGACTCCTTCATCTGGGGGTAGCTGTTGATTTGAACTTACCAGATAGCTGATCCAGGGTGTATCCACGTTTCTCAGTAATTTTTTTGACTCTGAGCATCTCATTTTTGTTACATTTTAGAGATCTTGTGAGCTTGATCTTGAACAGGAGTGTTTGGACATTATGAGGAAAGCATTTTAATCAGGATATTGATGTTACAGAAAAGATTCGATTGGATGGTACAGAGACAATTCTGCCATGTGAAATATATGGAAAAGTCAAAGAAAACAGGTTGATGGTTTTTGAGACAATGCATATTAAATGCTGCATAATGTTAAGATTAATGCTAGAACTTCTTAAAAAAAGCTTCTGTGTAAAGGTGTTTATAGCTGAAGAACATGAGCCAGCTGGATTGAGGTGACAGCTAGCAATATGTCATTAGGTGTTACACACAGTGGAATGATTTCCAGTGAGTAACCTGAAGCTCTAATAAAGCCATCCTTACAGTTATACCAAAAATAGTGGAAACAACATCACCAAGTCAAAAGTTTCACTGAGTTTTCTATTGGCGGATAAACAAATGAAGAGGTGTTTTAAGTTTTTGAGAGACAAAGAAAAGGGCAAAAAGTTGATACACTCCATTCAAAATGCTTTTACTCTTTATGTTCCTGGAAGGGGGAGAATGACAAACTCGTGTTGTGTGATTTTGTGGGAGGTGGAAAATGTATATTGAAATTGYGGTTCTTTACATTTTAAAGCATTTCTTAAMAATCCTTTCTACTAARTGTATATTCYGTGTGCTGTTTTTTTCAGGATTCTRGCWTGGAGGCCGTAGGTTCCCTTAAGAGTTCACCATGTTAAGCTTTTTGAGTTTGTTTTGTACATTGTTCCTTGATTTCCCTGCACCATGACCTACAGGATATCCATCCCCCAATGCACCAAGAACTGAAGCAAAGCATTCATTTTTATTTTCTGTCTTACCTAGATACTTTCATTTCAACTAGATCCCTCACTGCATCTCCAATCAATTCCTAATATTCCTTTTTCTTTAGCTAACAGTCTTTTACTGTATGTTTTAATTTCCTTCAAAAACTCATTTTAGTTACACATTCAGCTGTCTGCAGCATTAATGGTTTTTCGTATGTTTTGGCTTTCTCAGGATACCCTTGGGCTGGGTTCCCTGTTTTACTACTTTGGTTGGTTGCAAACTGCCATGGTTTTACATTCTGTTTTAAAGGAGTGTAGGAAGTCATCCTTAACAGCGGTTTTGAGTTTTTCAGTACACTTGATTTTTCTCACTAAGAGACATCACAGCAGAATTCATTCTTTTACACCTAGCAGAGTTACAGGGTATTTGAGAACATGGACAGGAAGTTTGCAAGTGGTGAAAACCTTTCAGCCAGTAAATGGGTGTCTAGTTTAAATTCTACCTCAGTTTTTACTARTTTTTACTAATGACCTACACATGCAGGGTTTTCAGCCTGTTTTTACCTCTGTAGTCCAAGTGAGTTAGATCCTGTCAGATGCAGGCAATAGCAGGCGTGAGTTGTTTAAAAGCTAGAGAAAACAAAGCAGGGAAACATGCAGTCTTATTGTTTGTTTTTCCAAGAGAGCCTTGAGATCTCATGGAACAGAAGAAACGAATCATATACTCTTTTTAAGCTACATTGTTGTTGGTCTGAAATTTAGGAGTGATGCTGATCTATTACAAACACATTTTGAGACATTTGATAAAAGCATTTTTCTTCTTTTTTTTTTTTTCTATCCTACACCAACTATTGTGCTGCAATAGTTAGCACTTGGTCCCGCACCTCTCATCACTTTCTGGATGTTTCTGACCTAAGTAGGTCAGAGCTCTTTCCTTCCTCAGCTCTTTGTCAGGTTCAGTCCTGTCATTTAGAGATTGATACRTCTGGATGTAATGTGACTGCTGAAGAATAGATTTGTGTGATGTCTTTAAATAGAGTGTACAAGAAATACCTGTTGTCTATTAAGCATAGTGGGACACCTGTTGCTTTTCAGATTACTACCCTGAGTCATAGAAATGGTGTTAATGGGGAGTGTTATGTTTGTGCTGCAGAACCCAAATAAGAGGTGAGTGAGGTGTTTAATGCCATGAGCAGCTGTGCATACTTGCAAGTAAAAGCTTCTGACAGCTATTTGTCCCTGCCATTTTACTTGGCTTTTAACATCTCAGGTCAGCATCACTGACCTTGAGGTACCATTATGGGAAAACTTGAAGCTCGGTCCTGCATAGGTTCCATTTTGTATCTTAATTCACCTACACACATATCTTCTAAATTTATCTGTGTTTTTACAGTATAGCTGGGAAGCCATCTCATAATGTACAAATACTTGTTCCAGTTTACATCAATATTAGCATCATAGTCTCAGGCATTATTATTATGACTCTACCTTGCAGATATCTTATCAAAATTCTCTGTACTGAACAGTTGTGGGACACAGCATACATTTCAGTTTAATATGCTGCCATTTTTAAAATGCTAATCTCCATTTAGTACTGGAGGAGTTTGTCTTCTCAAATAAATAAAGCCAACGGCTCTTTTCYGGCAAACAACTATACATACAAATTTGTTTCTCTTTCATGTTTATTTAACATGTAACAAACTTCCAGAGGTCTCCAAGTTTCATTACTTTAGGGA